ATTTCTCGTTCTTTGAAAATAATACTAAAAGAGAAAGTCTTTTTTGACTTTGTGTTTTGACCTTCATCTTCATCGGTTGAAGTGTCTTTAGATTTAAAAGCCCTGAAAACATTGGGGGATCGAGCAGTGCTTAGTTTTGATCACGCACTAAGTACGACTGGGCGAGCTGGTCCGAACGACTTGAAGCACTGTCAGCACACACGTTGGCACGGGGCCGGGAAACTTCTTTATTTTGCGACATATATTCTTAGCATCTCATACTAGACCAAGGCCTCTTCAGAAAAGACCAAGAAAGCACAGGTACGTTTTTAATCCTCGCACTAACTTTGATCACGGTACTGAATTTGGAAAAGCTACACAACAATTCTTTTTAAAAATAAGATGACAGGAACAGTTTTAGGAGGCCTTGTGGGATTTTAAGATTTTACTTGCCACTGATACAATCACAATCAGTTTAGTCTCATCTGTGCTCCATTTTAAATGCTTGGTAAGCGATAAGTAATACATGACTGTTCGATGTTTAAAGTATTCATAATTGTCCGACGCACCTTCGGGAGCGGTTTCATAGGACCTGTGAAATTCATGACTATAATTTGAGGGGTTCTAACCATGATATCCAACTACCACTACCTAAAAAAAAATTTTCTTAAGGGTTTATTTTCTTATCTGGGATGCAATGGCTTGGAACCAATTGTCAAATCAAACGCGTGAGATAGGGGATCTTACTAGCTTTAAACTCGTGATATCCTAGGATATACGTAACTTTTTATTATGTTTTTATCGTATTTCTTTAATGACTCATTTCTTGTTATTATATTGTATTTCAAATTATTACTATTTTTTACTAGTATTATTAGTCTCGCTTACCATACAAACTAGATAGTCACGTTTATGAGAGTCGATAGGAACAGATAAAATTGTCAATTCTTGTGCTAATTATTGTTAGTTAATCACTAGTCTTAATTTTTATAACTTGTAATTATCACACGGCATGTCTGAAGACCAGCTTGCTGAGCCATTTACCCTGTTTAAACTGAAGTTGAGTGATTTATTGATTGATTGTTCATTTGTTCATTTGGCCTATTTCGCCTTTTTGTAAAGTATACTTGTTTACGCGTGAAATATTTAGGCACATGTGTAATCTTCGCTGCACTTTTCGGGAGATGAGTCTGAGTTGAACTGTCACTAGTTTTAATCTGGTGATACTGTTAAACCCCTTTATTTTTAGATTAAACAATGGATGCAAAGTTCGTTATGGTTTTCCTGATGGCGGTCGTTTTTGTGTGCACAGATGCTTTACCTGCAAAGCTATTTTACAGAAAAGGTACTGTAAGCACTTTTAAAAATCTCTAAATGAACTTCGACTTTTGCAGGCTACAATTCTTAATTTGCTTTCCTTTAAACGTCTCGAATACGCATGTCCCTTTCGAAATCAGAATAAGTACAAAAAAAATCACTACTCCATTGGCAAATACCCATAAAAGGTATTTTTAGGATGTACGACAATTACCTCTATACTCTTGCGAGTAAAGAAGGGGAAGTTTTTACTATGATTAGAAACCTATGCTGAGTAAATGTGTAATTGCAAATTGTACTGACTTTTAAGGGCGTTGGAATCTTGTTCGGTACTTGACTAATGTCCAGTTCTTTCCCCTTCTAAATTTAAAATCCGTGAATTTTTGGTTTGAGTCGGCTACTTGACGAAGTGAGGGCGGAATTAGTTTGAGATATCTCGAGATCACTCCGATTTCTTGAGGAAGAAATAATTATTATTTTTGGCTTGCCCGGGATTTGGACGGACTTAACCCGAGACCCGTCGAATCATGTGGTTTCATGTGAAAATAAGCTATAAATAAATATAGTACACAAGTGGGTCAGTTTCGTGCGCGAAGTGGAAGAAAAGGGTCGACAAAAATAATCGCTTAGTTCAATTGGACATGCTTGGAAAGATGAAATGGTGGTAAAAATTACTTGGTTTGCCGCTATCTTATCCGAATATGGAAAAATAGTGTTTTTGAAGAATCTTGCAAAACTTTGAGTTGCTCCCGAAAGGTTATGATCGGAAAGATAATCGTTAGAATATTAAATAAAGTGTTCGTATCCATACCCGCGGAGCAGCCATCAGTCCTTGAGAACGTCTACCGTTTACATTACAGCTTTTTCAAAGGCAAAGGCCAGAACATTTAACCTGTGTCCTTTTCATTTGATGTTATTATCTATTTTAATGTCGTGTTTCAAAATTTCCCCTTGATTGAGGTCTTAATTATAAATTGATGTTTTTGAAAGTTTCCCCGCGAAATGACGTCTGGAAAACGAGCACAGAAATTCCTTCAAAGAGACTGGTAACTATTCCTCACGTCATTCCACTTTTTTTTCTGTTGCAGACGAAACTGGGAAGGACGCTGACCCAAAAAGGTTCACTAGAATTGGTGGTGCTTCATGTTCCTGTATTCCTAGTGGTGAGAAAGGGACTTTGTGGTGGCCGAATTGTCCACCTGGTTGGGAAACATGCTTTTCAGCTTTTCCGTTTGGAGAATGCTGTATTAAGCGGCTGTAGAAATTGATTTCAGTCAGGGCGTGCAGTCTGGACAAGTAGTTTTATAACAGATGACGACACATCGGGAAAAAATTAAACCGCTAACATTGCTTAACGTAAAATTTTGTTCAAACGAATAAGAGGGTGAACTAATTACGTCTTGGATTATTTCCGTGTTTTATAATAACTAATAATTAAAAAAGAACTTTTTAAACATTGACACAAGTTGCATTTCTTTCAATTTCGCATTGCAGTAGTGGTTATGCTACTAAATGAAATCAACATTGCTACATCAAACATTTTGAATTCACCATTTGCACTACTCTTATGTTCGCTTCCCCCCCCCCAACCCCCTCCCCCGAGAAAAAAAAATGCATAAACTGTGTTTTTCATTTCCCCTGGGTGTTTCCGTCTAGGACGGTTAATGTTTTCCAGGCATTACATCAAACTTCACAAACAATAAAAATGTACTTTGAAAAACTGTTAGGCTTTAGAACAAGGTTTTTAAAAGGTAAATTGCAATCCGTTTTAATCTCCTTCAAGTCTGTCCATCCGTGCCCTCTTTTCAGGGGAAATCCAATGGATCTGTTCCTCAAAATATCTGTTCTTGAAGCAAATTTTTGCTGGGTGGGAGATGTGGAAGAAATAATATGTTCTTGGAAGGAAAGTGTTGCTGGGAAAAATATAATTCAGGGTGACTGAGTGGACTTGATGTCTAGAATATCTTCTATGTGTTATGTGTCAGAAACCTCCCCCACCCGCCCCCTTCCCACCACTGAAGGTCTAAATTTTGCCCTTAGGCCACACCCAAACTGGCCAGTAATATTTGGACATACGTCTGCTGGGAAACTTCCCAATAAGTCAGGTTGTAGGTTGTAGGTGCACCTTGCTGGCTGGGAACTCTTCTATCAGTCTTGCTGGGAGTTGAGGAACAAATGCATTTTTCCCAGCAATCTCCGAAAATGCTTAAAATAGCTTCAGAAAGCTTTATACCATGTTGTTGTTGGTTTTAGGCCTTTTTCTCAAAATTTCCCGTTGGGTGCCCCTGTCTTATGTGTTTGCTGTCGTGTTATTCATAAAGGCCTTCGTTTTATGTTATGATCGGTTATTTTCATGCTTCTTTCAGTTTGGTGGCCATTCCCACCGTTTGAACTTTGTTAAATTTCTTGACACAGCCCTTTACAGCTGTTTCGGATAACAAGCGACCTGCGTTGTCGAAAACGTTTCAGGACTTGGGTGTTTCTTCGACGTCAGTCAAACCGTTACCATAACAGGCGCGGATCCACACCGGGTTCCACCGTTTTACGAAAATCGGTCAGAGTTGTCATAAAAAAAATAAATTTTTCATGAAAAAAAGTTTCCAAGTTCAAATCTGGCCAATATCCTGACTGAATGACTCAGAAAACCAGGAAAGGTGACTTTAGGGAGTAGAAATCTAAGAAATTTCACGGGGGTGCATGCCCCAGGACCCCCCTAGAGGCTTACGCCTTCGGCTCTCGTTTAGGAAAACGGTCAGTATTTATCCTAGATCCGCGCCTTTATAAATGGTTTTCACGGTGACCTCATCAAATTGTACTGAGTCAAAATAGCGAGGTTTTACGAATTCTTATTTAAAATAGGTTGAAGATAAACAAAAAGTAAATCTTTGTACAAGTTACCATTCCCGTAGCATGTTTCATTTCGAAAATACAGCAATTTGAACTTTCGAGTTTTTACAGTGCGTGACACCGAAAAAGAAATGCTGTCTCGTTAAAAAAAGTCTCTCTGTCTTGATTTTCAGCAGTATAACCATTTCAAGTATTAGAAGATATGTTTATGCGCACGTATGCTAGTTCTCGAGAGAAAAGAAAGAGCTTTTATAGAAAAATTGAACTCCAGATGTTACTGCTGATTTCCGGTGGCCATATTGGTGCACTCATACAAGAGCCGATGAAAAGGCAGAAATCTATTTTGGCACTCAACTTCCGTTAGGAAGGCATAGCCAGTCAAAAATGTCGATTAAATTGATGTCCCCAGAGTGTTCCCGGCGTTGCCCCGCCGACCAAAAAGCCTGAAGACTCTGGGTACGAGATTGCAGGTTGTCCGAAACAGCTGTAATGGAACTTTTCCTCTTTCCACTCCAATTAGCACACATGACGAATTGGGGTCGAGGCTTGGGCGGACAATAGACCTTCCTCACGATACCTGCCATCTTAGCAAGCGCTTTAGGATTGATGGGATAAAAGCAATGTCACGTGGTATTTTAGGAGGCAAACAAGTCAACATCTTCCCCAGGGTCTTCTCGCTTTCCAATATGGCGGCGGTAGGAGAGAAGATTGCTGGGAAAAATGGATCCTTTCCTCACTCCCAGCAAGACTGATGGAAGAGTTCTCAGCCAACGAGGTGCACCTACAACCTACAACCTGACTTTCTGGGAAGTTTCCCAGCAGACGTATATGTCCAAACATTACTCGCCAGAATGGGT